AACTGGCGAGTCAGGATATTTCTGACGAAACCTACGTGCGAATTTTCTGTAAATGTTTTTCCTTGCAATAGTTTCGACAATAAACACACGCTGTTTAATAGTGAACTTCATTTCCACCGTCTGTCGACAGCTGTAAACATTCCACTCCACTTCCACAGCAAGACAAAGACTGACTGTTTAATGCAACCTCGGGTTCCGATTATGCAACCATCGGCGTAGGAGCACTGCAGTCGCGGGGAGGAGTTGCATCCGTTCTGCGGTGGTATGACTCACGGCAAATTGCAGCCGTGGCGCGCACTTGATTGTACGCACTGTATGTCCATGTGCTTAATTCATTAAGCACCACACCATGAAGATATGGGGGAGTGGAGGTATAGCTCCACCATTCTTGACCCTGGCAGTAGATGGAGGTGAGGTGTCAGCTTCACACACTGCCTGCTTTATGGTTGGGGAAAGAGCCCCAAGTACCCATTGGAGAGGAGGTTGGGTGGGCCCCAGAGCCAGTCTGGACACTGCGGAGTAGAGAAAAGTTTTTTGCCCCTGCCAGGAATTGAACATTGGCTGTCAAGTTTGTAAACCATCTCTATAATGAATGAGGTATCCTGGCTTCTGCTTTCTTTGTAATTTTGCGTACATTATTCACCTTCATTTTCATTTATTACTGTTGCAAAACTTGTAGGACTTACATTCCATTGTGGATGAAAGCGTTGAAAATTGCAAATATCATGTGAAATAGAATTAATTTTTCACTGACATAAGCAAATTCTTTCTTGTATTTGAGGTTTTCTCTTATCCAGTTAAAATACATATATATCTTCTCAGGAAATCAGAGTCACACTGATATAGATGAAGCTGGTGACCCAGAGTAAGTACTTCAAACATCAAGTAATTCACATGATGGTCTTCACAGCGTTAACCCTACATTGTGAACATTTATATATAGTGCTCAACACAGTACTGCGGTAGTATTTGTTGTATGGCCTTTTAATTTTTGTATTGAAATGTTTACACCTTCATAACTAATTATGTATATGAGATAAATTTATGACTTTGTATAATTTTTTGTTTTCCTTCATCTTACTCTCATTCATCCTGTAGATGGTAACTTCACCCTTTCTTTTGAAAGTTTGTCTCTCAGAAATTAATGAAGAGCAGTGAAAGTCTTTAATGGAGTGAGACCCATGTTTTCCAGAGTGCAAATTGGTCAGTAAGCCGTTTGTCTCAGTGGTTGGATGGCCACCCATCAGAACGAGAACGACTAGAGCTTATGGGAGGAGCATTGCAGCGTTATCAACAAACTGTTCGTCAGAGAGGGGGAACAAGTTTTCATGCAGTGTATCCCGTCATGATCACACTGCTAGAGAGAGGAATAGCATATTGTACAAAATAAACTGTTTATTTGTGGTGTGAGATTGTAATGTCCTTGAAAGTAAAGAAATGTTGAACTAGTTGCTTTCTATCTTCATTTTTACCCAGCATATATTCAAAAAAGGAAGGTAGCTTATGGTGATTGTAAGATTGAATTTAAAATCAAGTTTTATGTTGAGAGTCGTATATTTTTACAGGAAGCCAGTAATTGCATCACATTCTTATTTGCATGTACGTAACTTTTTGACAGATTTGCTGATTTCATGAAACCTGATACGAACATCATGTTTTTGGAAGCCAACTGTCTCCCATATATTTTAATTATTTTCAACAACCAGATGGTTGTGCAAACTCTTTAAGAAAAATGCTGATGTCATTGAATGTGGATTCCAGAAATGTTGTGGTAGATAATTTTTACAGATACAGAAATTTCTGTAAGTAAGTTTTTGCCAAAACATTGCAGAATAATAACATAGTAATACCCTTCTTTGAATAGATTATAGTAACTAGAATTTGATTTGTTTCATTCTGGGCCATCACACTAACAATATTACAAATGATAAAACAATTCTGTCTGGTGTGACTGTTTGAAGCTTTTACTACTTCACTTCTTAGCACCCTAACATGTTTCGGTCCCTATAAACCAGCCCTGTTCAATGCGGTGCCCATGGGCGCCCGTGATATATTTTTCTGTTACCCTCCATAAGCACATATAATTGAGCCGAATTTTAATATTAATTCAAATTGTAAGATGAGACATTTTTGAACGTCTGAGTACTGTTAAATATTTTCACAAAATTTCCTTGAAGCACGGTACAGTATTAGACATTCCTTGAAAATTTATACCTATTTTTTTCTCCCTTGCTAACAACACCAGTCTTAATTCTTTTTTCACTAGAGAAACCGTCGTCCCCTCAGGATCATGTAATTTTCCCTAGCAGTATTTTTACCCCCTCAAATACTCCGCAAGTCCCCACTGAATCTGCTTTCATGGATTTCGGATTTATGGTCAGGGTATCATAAAATTTTCTGTGATCAGCAGGGCAAACATATTCACTGACCCGAACATGACTGTGGGGCCCAACTTACCGTAATTTCCCCAATTTTTAACTCATCGGCAATATGAATCAAAATTACTTTAATCCCAACAAAGCGATGCCGCAAACAACAAGAATTTATTTGAGGGTCGTACACTAATGGAAATTGGTAGTAGCTATATTTCCCAGTTCGCTTTCTTCAGTCAAACATTCAGTATTACTTGCGAGTTTGTGACGACCATAGTTCAGTTATTATGTGTCTTGCGCTGTGACAAGTTACACAGTTATCAGTGTATTTTAGTTATTGTACTTCAAATTACCAAGTAAATAAGCAGTACTATTTTGTATAGGTATTCTTGATATGGCTGAAAGAAAAAGAAGTTCTAGTTTTAACAGTGGATGGGAGGAGCAGTATTGTTTTATTGAATACAGAGGAAAACCTGTGTGTTTATTGTGTAATGGTAGCGTATCT